AGGTTTATAAAGTTAATTTAATGTTATATTTTGGAATTCGTGTTGAACAAACATGTAAATATCAAAAATAATCTTTTAATACAGAGAAACTCAATTATGTTTTGATTGACGGTATCATTTCACCTAACTGCCGAACAAATAACACTATAAAACGACATTTCTTGTTATTATCAAGAAAATGGAGAAGCTAAAATTTGTATTCAAATCAAAAGCTACAAAAGACGGAAAGTCAACCTATATCGCCATAACCTCAATTATTACAGAGGATGATAAAATTTTCCTGATCCCTGAGGAGTACGAAGCAGTGTCACTTCACAAACATATTCTCACCTCAAAAGCTTACATACAATACAGTGCGAAATACAATTAAAAAAAGACATCAAACTAGAAATGTTTAGATAAAATTGACAGTGGATATGAAAAACACATACTTTGATGAAGATGAAAACTTGATATTTGAGAACCAATATCTAGAGGAAATTACCCAAGAACAATTGGCAAATACCAACAAATACAGTTCAGAAGATCACTTGGTGAAAATTTTGGAAAAATTGGTTGAAAGTCAACAAAAAAAAAGAAAAACAAAGTGTAAAAAAATTAGCCGACAGATTTGTACTGGAAAAATTTGATGGCAAGAGTGTTGGTGCATGTCAATGGATGGATAATTTTGAAAAGGAATGCAAAAGATTTGATGTAATAGAAGATGAAGAAAAAATTTAAATCCTTAGATTATTTTCGGAAAAGTCATCCACTGATTGGTACGCTTCCATGATGATTAAGCATAGTTTGCAATCCGAATGGTCAGAATGGAAATCAAACTTTGTAGAAACCTATGCAAACAAGGGTTGGGCTAGTAGCAAATATGCTATAACTTTTAAATATTAATCAGGATCTTTATTGGAATATTCCATTAAAAAGGAGAAACTTCTGCTTGAAGTAAGAAAGACGATTGATCAAGGGACCTTGATTGATCTAATTGCATACGGTTTGCCAGACTTTATAACAGACAGGATCAACAAAGAAGAAATTTTAGAAACAAAAGATTTATTTAATGAAGTTGGTAAATTAGAACATTTGATTAAGAAAAAGTATCTGAAAAAGAAAGATGATATTAAGCCAATAAAAGAAAAGATGCAAAAATGTAGCATCTGTGAAAAGCTAAAGAAAGGAGTACGCTATCACTCAGAAGATTCATGCTGGTTTAAAACAAAAGACAATAAAGAAAATGAGAAGAAACAAATCAAACTCGTTAATAATTCTGAATTGAAATGTGAACTGCAGTGTGAAGACTCAAAAAACTAATAGTGCCGCCATTAATTAAAGTAAGGTTAGTATTGAATAAAACTTTTGAAGTATTTGGAATCTATGATTCCAATTTCTAAAAACAATTAATGGCGTTAAAAAAGCAAGTGGAATAATAACACTTGATGTAAACATTTTCAATGTAGAAAAAAAAACCAATGTCTAATAGACCAAGATAATTTTGATTACGATTTTCTAATTGGGCTTGACTGTATAAAAAAATTCTATTTAATTCAAAATGAAAATTTAGAAATCAGTCAAAAAATTCCAATACAAGAAAATAAAATTAAAAATTTAGAGACAATCAACATTTCTAAGTAAATCAAAAATAAAGTCTCAAAAATAAAAAATGAAACAATTACAAATGAAATAAAATCTATTGATTCTCAAAACGACAAAAAAAACCTTATAAACTTTAACGAAAACATAAACAAAGATAATTTCAATATTTGGATAAACCATTTAGATTATGACAAACAAGCAATAATTGATGACTTAATAATAAACAACAAATCTGCTTTTGCAAAAGATAAATATGATATTGGCCCAGTAAAGAATTATGAAGCACACATTGATCTAATAGTAGAAAAATATTGCAGTAAAAGGCCTTATCATTGTACAACAGAAGATAAAAAGGAAATTGAACAACAGATTGCACAGTTATTAAAAAAAAAATTGATAGAAGAATCGTATAGCCCATTTGCAGCTCCAGTAACATTAGCTTACAAAAAAGATGAAAACACAAGATCAAGGTTGTGCATAGATTTTCATGACCTAAACAAAATTGTTGTGCCACAATCACAACCGTTTCCTCTTATTGAGGATCTAATGATCAAAACAAGGGATTGTAAATACTTCTCTACACTGGACATAAACTCGGCATTTTGGTCGATACCTTTACGTATTACGGATAGGCACAAAACTGCATCTATCACACAAGAAGGTCATTTCCAGTGGACTTGTTAGCCATTTGGTCTGAAAACCTCGCCAGCAATATTTCAGAGAACAATGTGTAACATAATAAGAAAACACAAACTTGCAGAGTTCACAGTAAATTACATAGATGACATTTTAATATTCTCCAAAACTTTTTCTGATCATGTCAAGCATTTAACACAGCTGTTTCAAGCAATTAAAAGTGAAGGATTAAGACTTAAATTTTCAAAATGCAGTTTTGCAGCTGACTCGGTTAAATATCTGGGTCACATAATACAAAATAATTCAGTTAGTCCACTTAAAGACAACCTGATATCAATTTAGAATTTTCCAACACCAAAAACACAAAAAAATGTGAGACAATTTTTAGGAAAAATCAATTTTTATCATAAATATGTACCAAAAATAGCAATAAAATTGGATCCATTGCATAACCTTTTGAGGAAAGGACAAGCCTTTGAGTGGACCAAAGCGTGCCTAGAATCATTTGATGAAATGAAAAAAATATTATGTTCGCAACCAATATTAACTATTTTCGATCCAAAATTGCCTGTACACATATACACAGATGCTATTATACTAGGAGTGGGAGCCGTCCTAAAACAGCTGCCAGAAAACAAGGATGAAAAACCTGTAGCATACTTCTCGAAAAAATTAAATGAAGTGCAAAAAAGAAAGAAGGCTATATATCTAGAATGCCTAGCAATAAAAGAATGTGTAAAGTATTGGCAACATCTGTTGATAGGTAGAAAATTCATTGTTTTCTCAGATCACAAACCGTTGGAGAATCTTACCAATATATAAAGCAGAAGCGCTAAAACCATTGTAATCGCTAACCGCGAAAACTACTGAACCGATTTTGTTAAAATTTTGCACACTGATTCATGATACTTCCTAGATATTTTTAGTATAGTTTTCATCCTAAGAAATTTAATAACAATAGCAATAAATGAGCTCAAAGTTTTGCAAAAATACGTCAGCTTTTCACTTTAGTTCAGTAAAATCCGCTACGTGCCATCGACATAAAATCGAAGCTACCTGCAACATAATTAAATAAGTGTGGTTATAATAGGCTAGAGCGTCTCCGTACTGTTGTAGTCGAGCTTCGGCATTTCAACGAGCTGTATAGAGAATGCTGATGATAGTCTTGCAGCTGGGTATCCCGGTTACGGACTACACTCTTCTCTAAGGGGGAAGGGACCTAGGTGTCCATTCACCCTGATTCTCGACGAGTGCGATCAATTAATAAAAAAATTAATTCCAACCGATACCGTCTCTGCCTCAATACCCGGAGACATATCTAGCCAGAGCACAATCTGCACCAACTCTTCATAGCAGTCCCACCATCCCACCTGGTGCAGTTAGAGAATTTGTGGCTACAAATGTAAGCAAGGGACAACAGCTCTAAGGGGCACGGGCAGCCACAACGGCTACCTTCTTGGTCGTCGCGTCCCCAACGCGCTTACCCACATGTTCCCGTCTAACGATGAGCGGTTGGTTCTTGGTTATCCGGGGAACCACCCGAGACGAGATATTCTTTGGTCAGCAGCGTACCTTCTTCCATCACAGTCTCCGTACATCGAGACTCCCAGGGTAAGAATCAAGCAACCGTAGACAGCTCTTCATCATCAGGAATAAGAATAGCCTGGAAGTTTCACCACNTTTTTTTTTTTGCTGGATGCAAGTCGTTCGCACAGTTCACTGTGCTTTTTTCGAGCTGTACTCTAGTTGTGCCAGCCTACAGCTCGCGAGTCTGAACTCTACTTTGAGGGGAATACTGTCCAGTCTGCCACTACCAGGGATGGCCAGGTACAGAAACGGTTGTAGAAAAAGTAAGTCTTCTACGCGTAGAAAACACGTTAAATACTGTAGAGAATTTCAAGGCTTTTCTACATGGAGTTTTCAACACTGCCATAACCTTAATTTCAAGCAAATGCACATAAATTCAGTCTAATAAGTGAGTGTAAGATACGTTTTAGTTGTTGAATTAAAATTTTTGGTTCTTTAAGTACAAGTATTTTTTTTAGTCATCTCCTCATCTGTATTTAGTTTACGTTTCTTGATTTATTTTCCTTTGTATTTTAACAATGTACAGTTGATAAACTTATCAGCATGTACACAGTTCAATAGAGAATTTTTATATTTATTTATATTTTGTTTTGAGGTTAACAAAATATTTCAATTCCGTTTCCTATGTTTTCTACAGTTTTCTACGTTGTTGACAGTTTCTTACAAATCTACAGTAGAATACTGAAACATTTTTAGAAAACCCATCTGTGGGCATCACTGATTTGCCATACGTGTCGTTATTTATCCCTGAACTGTACCTGACGCATGCGTTAAAAGTATCTATGCCATACGTACCCTAATCGGAAGCACAATCTTAGATGCGACCATGGTGTAAGAATAGACAGGTGGGCCGAAGGCCTACCTCAACGCATTGTAAAAAAAGTTCAAATTTTGTCGCAGTACCGATACTAGCCACTAGAGGGATCCGTGTCGTGCAGGCCATTGATAGTATGAAAATTTTTTTTTTCTTTTTTCTTTTTTTTTTTTATATAGTCATACTGACCATTATAAAAACTGCCTCTACTACTCGAAACCACCTAGCGGATTTTAGATGTACTGCGACACAAATTGGACTCGATAGAGGCGGGCCTTCGGCCCACCTGTCTATTCTTACACCATGGATGCGACGACCCAGCACGTTTGGAGATGGAAAATTAACATAATTATTAATTTGCGATAAGTACTGCATCAAATTTAACCAAACAATGGACACTCGTTTTTCAGTTTTCTGAGTTAGTACACACATCAATTATTTTACTGTGTAGGTCCTAATTTAGAGGTTCTATAGTTTTGCAATCTATTCTGCTATTTTTATTTGGAATACTGGCCAAAGAAGATTTTTGTAGATTCCAGTTTAACGGAAATAGCAATTTTCTTCATTTTTACTTTAGAGATAAAATTAGCAATAATTTGGTTATAAATTATTCTACCACAAGAATAGTGGCAGAATCTTAGATAGAATAGAGAGATACCAGAAACGCTCTATTTTGATATCTATATGCTTGTATGTCTATGATAAGTACACACCACAAGTATCGTTTTGGTTTTCAACCTTTCAAGATCATAGGGTCTATATTTCCATACTTAAACAGTGTCATATTAATAAATTGTTCCAGTTAAAAATGGTCGACATTGACAGGATCTTAAAGAGCGTTGAAAAAAATGAATTGGAAGTAAGTTTATTCAAAGAATTTTCTTTATTTGTCTTGTTGTATTGCAACGTCACATGTGATGAGTTATAAATTCTTAGATTTGTATAATTTAATAATAATATTCTTAGTTGTTGTCGTTAATAAGAATGATGATTATGACTAAAGAAAATATGCTCCATATATCGTGTAAGTTAAGTAAGCTTTGTATTAGATAGAAAAAAGCTGGACGAATTAAGAATCGGACCTTACAGAGTCGTGGAAAAATTGTCAAATACCATTCACAGGATCAACACTGGCCATAAAAAACCAGAGTCAAACTTTTTCCACATCTCGAAATTGGCTCCAGTACCAACACTTGACGAAGAAGTATAGAAAAGTACAACATATTTTTACTACTTTATGGACTTTTAAAATATTTAGTTGGTACTAGCTTTCCCAGGGGGGGGTGATGTAAAGAAAATATATTTCCTTTAATTGGAATTCAGGCCGCGCTACTACCGCCTTTATGGTAGCAAACGCAATGTCGCCCGCATTTATTTTATCTGTGGCTGTAAAATGGCCGTGTTAGCGTGTTAGAACAATTGTGAAAACTATTACTTGTCAGNACTAAAGTATGTATTTACTATTGTTTTACAACGTAAATTTTTATTAATTTATGTAATTAACTTTCAACTTGAAAATAAGGCATCCTTTTTTATTACCAGCCATGTGAACATGTATGACTGATGGCGTTTTAAAATTTCCTCATCTGATTATTCAAATATATGGTTAAATTAATTACTTCTAAAGATTTAATATAACACAGAAATGAATCTTCCAAAATTGCTAACAAGTAGTATAGAAATTATACTTTCATTTTATTTCAGCCAGGTAACATCATATGTCATGTGTCAGAAACCTATTCAGAAACTATAAAAGCTCTAAGGAAGTCAACTTGTTGAATAATCTTGAGAAGAAAAAGTTTTGCACGAGTTTTTTTTTATTGATATAAAGATCATTCATGATTCTGTGTACATATCACTAAAAAATTCGTTTTTAGGATTTATATACGCAGATTCTGATTTAACTTGTAATGACTTCATTAAGGCTTTAAAAAATTTTGTTAAAAAAATGTTTCTCATAGTATTTCTTTGGTAACCATGTGTTGTTTATTTCCTTACCAACACTTGAAGTAGCATTATCATTATTAAATGTGTCTTGCTCAGACAGGACCCTTGAACAAATCTTATGTTGTAGTCTAAGATTGTTAGAAGAGTTGGGTAATAATTAGATGCCCCAAAAAGTAACATTTCTTTGTTGTTCTGGTGGTCAATGTATTTGCTCATTCAAGTAGTTGGTGAGGGTAACAGAAAGCGATCGAATAGCCTATGGTGAGCAAAAAGTGCGTAACTTCAGGATTTTGGCTGGCGTAATGCATGATTGACAACCACATTTTCAGTATTTCATCATTTAGTTTGTCAAACGTAGATGTTACCTAAAACAGTTGAATGACAGCGAATGAAGTAATGTGAGTAATATGATCCCATGATTCGTCAAAACCGTCAGTAACAGTCATTCGCATCATACTCGCGTCACTTTACGAACGAATTTAGTTCTTTCTGCTTGGACAATATGCAAACACTGTTATGTTACTGCAGGCTTTGGATTTATATCGATTTCTTTATCATTGATACCAGTAAAACCTTTTGCTCCCAAACGCCATAATAGTGACCACAACTATGTTAACAGGTATTGCGATTTTACAGTTTTTATGTTCAGGATCCTAACAAGTTGGAAAATGTGTATTATACTATTATTTGACATCTAAATTAGACGATCTAATGTGCATTGAACTCTGAAAAGTCCTAAAATTACGTACTTTTCTGGCACTAGATGGTGGAGCTATTCACATAGACATTTTTTGCTTATTTCATTGTGAACGTTCATATTGAAAAGGGGGTTCCACTGTTCCGCTAAACTCAAATTGAGTGAACAGTCTGAACAGACCTATACTGTATTCTCTCGTTCTCTGTCAGTCAACATGGTTTGCGACCATGGGCTTTGTTGCCTGATGGAAAAAGAGGTATAGGTCTGTTTAGCCTGTTCACTCACATTGGGTTTAGCGGAACCGTGGAACCCCCTTTTCAATATGAACGTTCACAATGAAATAAGCAAAAAATGTCTATGTGAATAGCTGCGGTGTCAATTCACTTGAACCAAGCGACCCATAGACATATTAAAAATATAGACTGCTCGTTCTTGTGTACGGCGCTGAAGCACAAGTAGAAGGAGATTCAACAGCGAACGTGGGTATTTGTTTACATAGCCAAAGGCGATAATGTGCCAGAGAGAGAGAGAGAGAGGGCAATACCCACGTACGATGTTGTGTCTCTTTCTACTTGTGCTTTAGCGCCGTACATAAGAACGAGCAATCTATATTTCTTATATATCTATGAAAGCGACCCAATGAACATATTTTCTTCAGATTTCTATTAAATGTCTTGTAGACTTCTGATGTTTCTCTAATGGACATTTTTAGGGAATTTCGGGGATAAAATTTTCCACAGATGTCTTCCAGATGAACATCAGAAGTCTACGAGACTTCTAAAAATAAATCTTAAGAAAATGTGTTAATTGTGCACGGTGTAAGATATAGGCTGTAATCCGCAAATGCTGCCAGCAGTTGAGTTACGTAGGTCGTGGTAACGCCGCATGGTCAGGCGGCGCTACTATCAACACGTACTTACTGTCGGTGGGTTCAGCATGTCAACAAACTCCGAAATATTGGTGTAGCATGAAAGTCAAAACAGCAAAAAATATCGAAGTTTGTTGACATGCGGAACCCACCGACAGTTAGTACAGGTTGACAGCAGCGCTGCCCGACCATACGGCCTACGTAACATAACTGCTGGCAGCATTTGCGGAATATAGCCATAGCAGGTGGTACCATATCACCTCCAGTAAATTTTTGTGAACATTTTGTGTCATTCCTTCTTTCTCACACCAGGTGCCGCATAGAAAACAAGCACCTATCAGACGAGTAACTGGAAATAGTAGACACCTTAAAAGGGAGAAATAAAATTTGATTGCAATTTTAATTAATTAAAATGGGCACAAAATTTTGTGTAAAAAAGGGTAAAAGTTGCTCAACATTAAATAGTGCACCAAAATATGACGAAAGTCTGTTTACATGATGAAGCGAGGTTATTTAAGTGGCTTGTGATGTCATTCTTAAAAAAAATAGTTATATTTGTAGTCAACATTTAACTCAGAGCGACATTCATGATAAATATGTCATTAAAGACGTATGCGGCAAAATTATTTTCCAAGTTAAATGAATAATATATAATATAAATAATAAAAGAATTATTTAATATTTTGATTATTAAAAATGAATTCGTACTGCTTAATTTATAAAATTGTGAATTACCAATGGCAGTACTGGTAAACATAAAAAATCGCAGAGGACTTAAATATGACAAAAGCGATTTATATCTTTTTTTATTTTTTTATTACCGGGTTACCGCGACAGCTTTTAGGTTAAGTCACCGGGGCCACCCACTCACTATCAATGCGTGGGAATGTATTGCCGCACCCATTTTCTAACCCTTTTACTGATGTTATACCTAATCCATGGGCACGGTTCGAGTATATCCAGTGAAACTCCTTGCCAGTTAAGTTAACACTCTCTGCAACAGTGGTGCATCGGGTCCACTCGCCACTGTGTAGCCTTTATCTAGAAAGAACTCCATATTTCAGGACGTCCAATCTTGACTGGTTAACCGGCGTTCTCTGCCGAAGCATCGGATCCAGGCTAATTAGCATCCCGTCTAGAGAAGCCCCACGTTTCAGGGACCACTTCTCGCCGGTAAAGCCGGCGATCCCTGCCTGGTGCATCGGATCCGCTAACCCCTACCTATAAGCCTAACACTGTTTCGCCTTCACCCAGGCCCGAAGACTTGTGGGGAAAGGAAACAACCCTGAAATTACTCTGAAGGTAAATTTCACGCAAAAATCCGCCCCGAAACAGCGGGAGTTACATAGGAACTTTTCCCGGTTTTTGAAAAAATCTGCTTTCACCGGGAATCGAACCCATGATCCCTACTTTGAGAAAAAAATAATGGCCTAGCAGCATAATGGTGATGAAGCGGACGACGTTTCATTTCGTTATGGGCGCGCAGCACGGCCGCTATGCTGTACTCGCTTGACTTCTATGGATGCGCGCTGTAGCTGCACTGCTCTGGGGAGGAGAGCATCACTGCTCATGCCTTGTTTACATGGGGCTGATAGCTGTGACGCCAGACTATCGATGGCGCTAGGGCATATCTATAGTCTCTGGCGATTTGCATAGACTGCGATGAGATTTGTCCATCGTCCTTCATGCGTTTTGATTTGAATGATTATATATATATGCAGTGTAAATATGTACTCCTGATATCCCTAATTAAATATTTTGATATTGTTGTACTTTCGCTTCCCGAGACAAGAACCGTTAAGTGTAGTGTTTTATGAGAGATAAGCTTTGTTATGTGAAAACAGAACAGTTAATGTTAGTGCTGTGTACTGGTTAATGCGTAAGGTATGAAAATTGCAAATAAAAATGTATAGCATTGCAATATAACCTTACTTTTTTCTAAGATCGTGCTCTGTTCCATTTATATTATCATATATTTATTTTTTTTGGATAAAATGAATATGTCAAGGCAATCTTCCTCTACCTGTTCTTATTAAATTTAAATAAATAAATCTAAGTTTTATATTTCTCAAATAAATTATAATTTACCTCATAATAAATGATACTTTTAATCAATCCTACACGAGGATACTTATTTTCCTATTTTTATAAAAAATTCTGAGAAGGCTAAGATGAGTAGCACAAAGTAAGCTATTGTAATAATTTTTAGTTTTAACGAAATGATACTATTGAAGAAGACATCAATTAAATAAATTATGATACCCATAATCACTCTATTAATGTGCTTATTGAAAAATAATAACAAATTTACGTTCAATATAAATTTTTCTTCAAATTGCCATTGGTT